GTCGTAGGGTAGCTTTTTGAGGAACCTCCATACTGTTTTCCAGAGTGGCTGCACCAGCTTGCATTCCCACCAACAGTGTAGGAGGGTTCCCCTTTCTCCGCATCCTCGCCAACATCTGTCGTTTCCTGACTTGTTAATTTTAGCCATTCTGACTCGTGTGAGGTGGTATCTCGTTGTGGTTTTGATTTGTATTTCCCTGGTGCTGAGTGATGTGGAGCATTTTTTCATGTGTCGGCCATTTGTATGTCTTACTTGGAGAAATGTCTGTTCATGTCTTCTGTCCATTTCTTGACTGGATTATTTGTTCTTTGGGTGTTGAATTTGATAAGTTCTTTATAGATTTTGGATACTAGCCCTTTATCTGATAAGGCATCACAAATATCTTCTCCCATTCTGTCGGTAGTCTTTTGGTTTTGCTGATTGTTTCCTTTGTTGTGCAAAAGCCTTTTATCTTGATGAAGTCCCAATAGATCATTTTTGCTTTTGTTTCCCTGGCCTTTGGAGACGTGTCTAGCAAGAAGTTGCTTGTCACAGAGGTCACAGAGGTTGCCGTCTGCGTTCTCCTCTAGGACGTTGATGGATTCCTTTCTCACATTGTGGAATTCCATTTGCTGGTATTTTGTTTAGGATTTCTGTTTGTGTGCAGACAGATCAGATTGGCCTGTCATTTTCCTTTCTTGCCTTGTCCTTGTTTGGTTTTGGTATCAAGGTTATACACTGCTAATAAAATGACTTGGGGGAATGTTTCCTCTTCTTTTAGCCTCCAGGGCACTTGTGGAAGACAGATAAAACCGCAGAAGGGTCTGGTAAACGCAGCTACCAGACTGTCATCCTTCTGCGGTCCCACTTTTTGGTACAACTTTTCTCGCTTGTGCCTCCAGCCCGACCTATGCCCCCACCCCGCCAAGAAAAAACAAAGAAAACACATTCCTGCCTCATAAGCGTCTCAAATTGAAATGCTCACAGCTTGATTAGAAAGCTGTGTTTCTGGTTTTTTACAGGTGGGTCCTTAACTCAAGAGTTTAGCATGAAGAGTTGTTTTCAGGCCTGCCCTGAGCGCCCCCACGTAACAACAGGTAGGTGCCTCTCTTAACAGATTAACCACTCTTCTTGAAAACCCAGGTATAGGATCACTCACTTATCCTTTAGGGCCTCCCCGAACATGAGCCAGAGTCCAGCCAGAGGTGAGTCTGGCGGAGCTGGGACCCGGGTCTGCCCGCCAAGGCTGCTCTGTTTTAGGGATGTGTTGGAAACTATGTGGTCCAAATCCTCTAAGCACAAAATTAGCTTCTTTCCATATTTTTTGAAAGGGAAAGAACACCTTACTAAATATAACATGGGTCAACAAGCCAGAAACAAGATAAACAGCCAGCAGCTGCAGCTCAGGAGCTGGGTTCCACACCCCTGGTGAACCCACCAGGGTCCTGGTCCCCAGAGGGAGGGCAGAATCGACGGACAATTTTAAGCGACCCCCAGGACACATAACCCTGCCACGAACCCAAAACACAAAAACCTTTATTTCATTTTTTTATTCTAAAACCAACACATACACATTTGTGTGTTTCCGATTGTTACTCTCCCAGTAAGAAAAAGAAAATAAAAATCACTCTAATCCCACCGTGCAGAAAACAACTAAAAAGACCATGGAATGCATAATCTGAGTGTTTTGAAATTTAATATAAAACATAAGTGTTTCGGGGCGCCTGGGTGGCTCAGTCAGTTAAGCGTCTGCCTTCGGCTCAGGTCATGATCCCAGGGTCCTGGATCGAGCCCCGCATCAGGCTCCCCGCTCAGTGGGAGGCCTGCTTCTCCCTCTCCCGCTCCCCCTGCTTGTGTTCCCTCTCTCGCTGTGTCTCTCTCTGTCAAATAAATAAATAAAATCTTTAAAAAAAAAAACAACATAAGTGTTTCTCAGCCTTTTTTCCCAGTATTGTTCCCTAAAGAGTCTTTTTAGACATTGTTTTTGTAATGCCCCCATTTTACCCCCATCCCATGAAATTTTAATACTGCAGATATCCTGTGTGTCTGTTAATGTATGGTGGAGGGCCACAAACCATTGTAATATCTAAGACTATATTACACCATCCCCAAGAACGAATTTTTGCCCCCGCCCACCGTGGGTGGTCTCACCCCATTGGGAATGCAAGCTTTAAATAAAATTAAATAACAAACCTTTCTAGAAGAACTTGCTATGTGCTGGTCACATATAATTCTAGGTGCTTTATGTATGTTTTCTTGTTCACTTATCATAACTCTCCTATGAGGTGAATACCAGAAAGACTTGGTCTCCTTTTACAGTTGTGGAAGCTGAGCCACAGAGAGGTTAAGTAATTTGCCAAAGGCACACAGCTGGGAAAGTTGGGAGTGAGGATCTGAGCCCAGGCAGCCTGGTTCCAAAGTTTGTAACTGCTTTGTCTTGCAACAACACCTTCTGATTGTAACAAATCCAAAATACAGAAACAGAGTAACAGGTATACTTCCCAAGCCCTCTCTATTCTCTGAAGCAATCATTGCTAAGTTTGGAATGTGTCTTGCCTGAGATTTTTACATATATGTTTGTATATATGAAAATCTTCTGTCTCTTGTTTATTTTAACGTAAGGAGGATCATCTGGTCTTCCTTCCTATATATTCATGTATACAGATGTGTATATAGAACTTCTTAAAAATTAGAATCACACTGAACATACTGTTTTTTTTTTTAACTTTGACTTTAAAATGTATCGTTAGCTGGCTTAAAACCATAATTTAACCAGCACGTGTACCATATTTTATTTAACCAGATGCAGATTATTGGCTATTGAGACAGTTTCTAGTTTCTCACTGCTACAAAGCTACAATGAATATCCTTGCCTTGTACATAATTCTTAGAAGTTGGAATTACAGAGCCAAAGGGTATAAGCATTTTTGAAACTTTTGATCCATCAGTGCCAAAATTTGCCGTCCGGAAAAATTGTATAAAATCGCTTATCCCAACACCATTACCCACATTGGGTATTATTGCCTGTTTTCCATCACTGACCATTTAACAGGCCCAAATGTGTGAATCCCGACATTTTCATCTCCTTTGGTGACTCTCATCTGGGGCCTGTTTTACTCATGTGACAGGTAAGGCAAAACTTGAGTCGAGAGAGCAGGGAGGGTGGGAGGTTAAAGTAGCCCCAATCACTGGTTTAGAAAACACACTCTCCACCTCCCAAGGACAAGGCCTACCTGCTGGACCCCTAGCAGGTGCTCAGTCATGGGCTTTTTCATCTGCTTCCCACACCAGCCTCCAGCTGCACCTCCGCACCACTGTGCCCTCCTCCTCCTCTGGCCTTGTCTCAGATCCATTTGGCAGAACTGCTAAAGCCCTCATCCTTTCCCTTGCTGGCTATGAGTGATATTTGGGAAACAAATACCCTCGTGTGTTAGGTAGCTGATCCACAGCAACTGTCTGCAGTGGGATGGGATCCCTGTTCAGTGCCCTGCATGCCTACACATACATGTTCACACATCAGTATGCATGTATATGTGGGTGTGCACGTGTGCATTTAGCACTGCACGATCCGGGTGCAGACCCTCTTATCTGAAGTGGGACTTGTCTCTCACAGAGACTTTCCATACGCCCTTCAGCCTGAGTTAGGACACCCACCTACCAAATTCCACAGTTTCTAGACTTTCTTCCCACTTTGTCGTTACTCCTTGTAGACTTTTCTGCTGGCCCAGAGCCCCGCTAACCCTTAACTTGCTCACCAGTGTCCCTCCAGTGCCTAACACTGCTTAGCAGATGCACAAGAAATATTTGTGGAGTGAAAAAAAAAAAGGAACAGACCTCAAGCCGATAAAGGATATTATCCCAAATATTTTTAGAGTATTTTTTTTTAACAAAGTGGCCACTTTCAGATTGAGCCCGTTGTTTGATGAGAAAATATCTCTGCAGCATTAGATTTCAAGTGGCCTGGTTGGCCGTCCTTCTGGAAAGATCGGAAAGAATGCAGAGTTGAAAATAGGACCTTGCCCATCCAAACATCTGTCAGGCTTTACTGTTCTGCAAAGGTCGCTGTCCTGGGAATAATGTACTGAGGAGCAGTTAGCCAGGAAGGGTGCTGCTCACTGGTCCTCCTGGCCCCTGAAAGGGTTCTGAGCTAAACCTTCAGGTGACTTGCTTATCTGGCTCACTCTCCCAGCTTACAAATGGTTGTGGAATCCCAGGACGGTGGGCTTGTTCCCTTGAGCACAAGGTCTCTGAGCTGCTTCGTGGGAAGAGGGTTTCTCGCCCAGCTGGGCACAGCAGCTAAGATGGTGAATAGGCCGGCTTCTGCCCCTTTAAGAAAAGCAAAACTCCGTGGGGCTGAAGGGAGGCGAGTCTTGCAGGAAGACTTCAGGTGGCCTCTATTCATTTCATTCAGTGATTGAGCAGACATGTTTGGAGCCCCTGCTATGTTCTGGGCACAGAGATGTGTCATGGGAAGAGAGAGACTGGCCACAGTAGTCACTGGTGGCCTGTGGGAGTCCACAGAAGGGGCAGCTGAGGAGGGGGGACCAGAGAACTGCAGAAATGCTGGAGGGGGGTGTGCAGAGAAGGGCGAGGTGAGAGATGAGGGGGGAGAGGCGGTCACACGCGTGACTCCAGGAGCCCAGATTTTCTGCTGCAGGAAATGGGGAGCCATGGAGGGTGGGGAGCAGCCCACAGGCCGTGTGGACTGGGACACACCCCCGATGGATGCCCGTCGCCCAGGCGATTTGGGTACAGCTACTGACCACGGCTCACGCACACCATCGTTCACGCTCCTCGCTGGACCCCGTGCCTGCCGAGATTTCACTGCACTTCATTAAATTCCACAAAATGTTTTCAGGCCCCAGAGTGCTGACCTCTCTGGTCTCCTGCATGGAAAGATCTGGCTTTTCCTTTTCGGGTGGGGTAGGCGGATCAGCCCTCCTTCTGCAGGCACGTAAGCCATCTGGAATGCATCAGCGGCCAGGCCCGGCCAGCGCGCGGCTCGGTCCCGCTCTGGGACTCCTTCAAGAGTGTGCCGCTGCGTCCACAAATGCGTCCGGAATCCGAACTGAGCCTCCTCTCTCTTCTTTCTGCTTTCCTTCCAGACCTCTCGGCCGCAGCTGTCCACGCAGGATGCCTCGAATTTGCTGGAAGCCGTCCCTCGAGAGCGCAGCTGCTGCTTCTTTAGGGCGGCACTAGGGATTTCGTTCCGTGCGTTGAAGGGGTTTCTGTTGTTCTTGCTGCGGCTGCTGGTGCGCTCATTTATTTACTTTCTTTCTTTGCACCGGCCCTCGCCCCGCTCCCACTGGCATGATGGCCCAGTCGAAGGCCAACGGCTCCCACTATGCGCTGACCGCCATCGGCCTGGGGATGCTGGTTCTCGGGGTCATCATGGCCATGTGGAACCTGGTGCCCGGGTTCAGTGCCCACGAAAAGCCGACAGCTCAGGGGAACAACAAGACAGAGATAGGCAGTGGCATTCTCAAGAGCAAGACCTTCTCCGTGGCCTACGTGCTGGTCGGGGCTGGGGTGATGCTGCTTCTGCTCTCCATCTGCCTGAGCATCCGGGACAAGAGGAAGCAGCGGCAAGGCGAGGAGATGGCCCACATCCAGCACCAGCCGGGGGTCGAGCCACACGGCCGGGAGGAAGACAGGTGAGGACGGGCTGACCGCCCTCAGACTGGGGGATGGACACACACACACACACACACACGCTCACACCCACAGGGTTCACTGACGAGACTGCTTTAGTCTAGGAGGCTCTGCCTTCCCACTTTCCCCCACTAAGGCTCTGTAAAGCAGTTTATAATTTTCCGAATAACTTTATACTTCTATCCCAGAGTTTCCCAAATCATGCGGTATGAATGGATTACAGGTGTATCAAGATTTTGACACCGGCAGGAAAGCTGCATGGGGCCCAGGGCAGCCAGAGCCTCCAGGCAGGCTGTGTGTATGTGCTTTGCGTTGAAAAGGTTGGGAACCAGTGTTCTATTTGGACAAAAATGCCACAAACACATTTAAGAGATAAGCAATAAATCGGGGAACACAGGATGAAGGTTGACATCCCTACTAGAAAAAGAGCCCTTGCAAATGAGTATGACAGGGGAGCATATCAGTAGGAAAAGGGACAAAGGATACAAGCAAGCATCTCATAGATGTTCAGACAGTAGATGTTCAACCTCATTCGTCACGAAATGCAAACAAAAAGAAGGTGTCGTTATTCTTTGCCTATCTTAATGGCCAAGCCGGGCAGCCCTCGGTGTTGGAGAGCTGTAGGGAAATGGGTCACTGATGGGGGTATTGACTGACACAACCTTTCTGAAGAGGAGTTTTCACAGTGAGAGGAGATATTGAAGATGCGTGTCCCTATCCATTCTGTTCCTACAAGTTCACCCTTGGGAGAAAAAATCACGCAAGTGCAAAGGAGTCTGTGCCCTTAGGTTTATCAGAGCGTTGCTTAGAACAGCAAAAATTGAGAAACAACCTAAATATCCACCATTCAAGCTAAATCATGGCACGCCCACTCGGCGGCATTCTGCACAGCCATTGCTGAGCTGTAGTTGCTAATGCAGGACCGTATGCACCGTGGTGAGAAAGGGAGGTTACAACACGGCATCTGTGGTGAGGTCCTAATCGCATCAAATGTTGCAGCTGTGGGATTAGAGAGGGGTCTGGAAAGGTGTACAACAGAGTGTTAACAGTGGTTGTCTCCAGGTGGAAGGAGATGGGACGGTTTTATTTTCTGCCTTAGGTTTTCCTGTGTTTAGATTTTCTGCAACTTTGTCATCCTTCTAGTGGGAAGGGAGTTGTTTTTGGCTTGGAAAAACGAAACCTATTTTCTGATAATAAAAGATCATGCACACATATTCTCAAAAACTCAGGAAATACAGAAAAGAACAAAGAAGGAGAATCAGTCACCCCTAATTCCCCACCCTAGCCAGGAGCACACACATGCTAAGGGAAATGAGAGGTAGGCCTGGACAAACAGGGAGGGGCTGATGTTGACCATTATCACCCTACAGGTTCAAGTGCAGAGTCCTGGACTATGGCTTATGGCACTATTCCCTCAACATGTGTATAAAAAAAAAAAAAAAGAAAGAAAGAAAGAAAAGACACCTGACTTTCTGGTTTTCTCTTTCAACAGTCAAAGGAGACTAAGCCTGAGGATAAGACCTTTGAGCCTTATAGTGAACTTGGAAGACAAAATTACAGAATACCTTGAAATACATATAAATTTTATAGTAGACATTCCTTCTCTACCTGGGGACAACCATTCTGCTTCAAACTGGCTGCTGCTTCGTGCACGTTTGTGTGGCCTTTGGCAAAAGGACCCAGCTTGGCGCCAGAACAGCCCATCTGGCATGTGGTTAAGCATGAGTCTTAAAAGCAAAGGGGGTTTCACACTTCCTCGTGTTAACACTTCCAGATCATCCAGTGTAGTCGTTGAGTGTGGCATTCAGTTCCTGCTCTCCCACTTCCCACATACATGACCAAGTCACATAACCTTGACGTATCCGTTTCCCCATCCATAAAATGGGTATGAAAATAGTACCTAACTCATAGCATTGTTAGGAAGATGAAACTGGTTGATATGTGTTAAAGTACTTAGCACAGTACCTGATGCCTAGCACACAGTTCAAGTGTTAGCTTTTATTACTTTTGGCACCCAAGGGTTGTTCACAAGGCTGGTGTATGTGGACCCGGTGCTGACACAGGATCTGGAGTTCATCTACTTGTGATTTACAATATGGCGGGAGCACATGCTAACACTCTCCATGTTGGTGCTTGTTGTCTTGCAGCCAGGAGGAGGAGGAGGAGGCCTCCTCCAGGTACTATGTCCCCAGTTACGAGGAAGTGATGAACACAAACTACTCAGAAGCGAGGGAACTGGACCAGAACCCGAGGATGAGCATCTCTCTCCCGTCCTATGAGTCCTTGACGGGTCTTGACGAGACGAGCCCCACAGCTGCCAGGGCCAACGTGGAGAGCAGCCCGGGGAATCCACCCGACAGGCAGAACTCCAAGTTGGCCAAACGCCTGAAGCCACTCAAAGTTCGAAGGATTAAATCCGAAAAGCTTCACCTCAAAGACTTCAGGATCAGCCTCCCGGACAAAAACGTCCCTCCTCCCTCCATCGAGCCTTTGACCCCCCCACCACAGTATGATGAAGTCCAGCAGAAGGCTTCTGATGCCCGGCCACCTGACTGACGGCCCCGCTCAGGTGTGTTCCTCCGGTTGCTCACCCTCCACACCACGGACCCCCCGTGAAGCCACTTCAGCTGCAATTGAGGAGCGGAGGGGGCAGATGCATACAGATTGATGTGGATGGGGGCGAGGGAGGGGGGCGTGGGGAGTCCAGTGACTAGGGACTGACTGACATCCACAGAACCTCACGTGGCAGGTGCGTCGGGAATAGCTGCTGCCTCGGATCTCGGGATGTGGACCCCGTCGGGGTCCTCGCGGGGTACGCACCTTCCCCATCGTTTTTCCCCAACTCTGGGTTGTTGGCCACAACACCTCTCTTTCCAAACAGGAGAGGATGCCTAGCAGCTGGTTTAGGTTGTGATTTTTGTTTTGCTTCCACTAGGACTGTTTTGTTTCAAAAAGAAAACAAGATATGCCTTTGCTTTCCTCACCGGAGTCCTGAGCTGTGGGTAGGAGATGTGACTCAGCTTTCTAGAAAGGACGCGGGGCCGTTTCGGGAATGAAGTGAAACAAGAGGCTGATCGATGATGTGGGGGTGAGGCCCAGCTGGGGCTCTCTCAGAGCCCCTGAAGCTGTTGGCTCTCGGAGGGCCCAAGGCCCGGTGATGCATAAGATCAGAGTCTTTACTGGTACGCTTTCCTAGTGCCTTCTGGGTAAGGGCAACAAAGGAAAGCTGTGTGAGATATTTTATTCCTTCTAAAGTGCCGTGCAAGTGAGCTTTTTATAATAAAATATTTTATATGTAGTACATTTGGGCGCTGAATTACTGTCACAGCTCTTCCAACACTGACTTGCTTAGGGAGAAATATCACTGATAATAATAGTTGCTGCTAATCTGCACAAAACACTTCACGTGTGTTACGGCATTTCCTCTGCATCCTGGTATCACTGCCATTTTGCAGGTTAGCTCACAGAGGCTCAGGTTCAAGTGCCTCACGTCACATTGCTAGGAAGTAGCCGCGCTAGAGTCTGAACCCCAGCCGTCTGGCTCCAGGGCCTGAGTTCTTTAAATGCTCTACTGTGCCATTCAGTATAAAGAGCTTTTTCAAACTTCGAATGAGGATCTGTGCTTCCCAGGAAGGGGAAGCTATTACTGCTGCCCCTTCGACCCACATACCCAACAGAACATGGTGGCTGTCTAGACAGCAGCTCCTACCGACCTAAACGTCCCCCCAGCATTCCCCTCCTGAGACCCGGCCCAGCGGGAGCCGATGGGCTCTATGCTCAGAAAGGCCGGGTGAGTGTGTCCTCATGCAGGGGGCAAAGTGCCTGCCTGTGGAACCCAGGAAAGCAGTTCAACTAATGAGGATGCCCAGGGGATTGCTGACTGCTGAGACTAAGCCAGAAGAGGAACGACTGGGGTCAGGGTCTTGACCGTGGAGTGGGAGTCTGGGAAGACACACCTGAGTCCAGGGGTGCCTTCCTGGTACTGGGAAGCATGAAGTGGAGTCTGCATGGCTAGGAGAAGAGTAAATTCTGAGGCCCTGGATGTTTCCTAAAAACTTCCAAGTAGAGAAGGGGCAGCAGGTAGGGAATGAATCACTCCTGATCTCAGGATTGGCAGTACGGTCTAAATTCCAACCTTTCACTTTCCTTATGCAAATCCATCTATTAAAAGGGAGCTGCAAGGACCTGCTTCGTGGCTAAGACACCAGAGACCTGTGGCTCTCCATGTATCTGGGGGCTGGATTTGTTCTTCAGTTAGTCTTTATGCTTCCTCCTGATGGGAAGACAAACAGGAGGGAAAAGAAAAGATGAGCAGGGCACCTGGATGGCTCAGTTGATTAAGCCTCTGACTCTTGACTTCGGCTCAGGTCATGATCTCAGGGTCGTGAGAGTGAGCCCGGAGTAGAGCCCTACATTGGGCTCCACGCTCAGCAGGGAGTCGGCTGGAGATTCTCTCTCTCCTTCTGTCCCTCCACCGCCCCCTCTCTAAAATAAATAAATCTTTAAAAAAGAAAAGGAGAATAGCAAGATTCCAAATGATAGAAAGGGCCCTCAGTCTGGGCTCTGGTGGATCATCCTGCGGGGCGTCTGCCCAGCCTAGACCCTCCTGGGGGGGAGAAAGTTTGGGGGCTTGTAGTGGGCTGAATGGTAACCCTGAAAGATCTCAGGACCTAAGTCCTAGGACCTGCGGAAGTTACCTGACAAGGTAAAGGTTTTGCAGGCGTGATTAAATTAAGGGTTTTGAGATGAGGTTATCCGGGAATCACCAGGTGAACTCTAGATGCCATCCACAAGTGCACTTGCAAATGAGAGCTGGGGGACACCACACGCATAGAAGAGGAGGAACCATGGTGACCACGGCTGCAGAGACTGGCCTGGTGTGTCTGCAAGCCAGGGACTGCAGGCAGCCCTGGAGCTGGAGGAGGCAAGGGGATTCCCCCCTAAGCATCCACAGGAGCTGCAACCTTGACTGTGGCCCAGCTGATGCTGGTTTTGGACTTCTGGCCTCCAGAACCATGAGAAAATACCTTTCTATTATTTTAGGCTACCAAGTCTGTGGGAATTTGTTGCCTAGAACATGTAGCATATAGAGCATGGTTCACCTTTGTCTATAGGAAGGCAGAGAGAATGTTAGCTGGAAATGTTGCCTGGGGGCTGGAGACCTGAACAGTGCCTAGAGAAGCAAAAGAAAAAAGAAAAAATCCATCTGCAGTATTAAGTTAAAACCACCTGTCAAGGGGCGCCTGGGTGGCTCAGTTGGTTAAGCGACTGCCTTCGGCTCAGGTCATGATCCTGGAGTCCCGGGATCGAGTCCCGCATCGGGCTC